GTGTCTGTGTCTGTGTCTGTGTCTGTGTGTGTGTTTTTATATTTATGATATATATTTATATATATTTGTATTATATATACATATATATATATATACACACATACACACACACACACACATACATACATACATACATACATACATACATACATATATATGGCAACGTAAGTCACTCAGTACTTTGGATACTAAATTTAACAAATAAATATCTAAAATACAAGTTGGTTTGTTTTGAAATTGTTCCTGTTACAAAAAGATTATTGTGTGAAATTCTTCATCACACAGAATCTCAGTTGTAAAATATACTCCAGGCTACACAGATTTGTAAACAATTTCTACAAAAATTTTAAGAAGCATTATTTTAAGTAACATTAACAGAGTTAGAAGGGACCTTGGAGGTCATCTAATCGAACTGCCTGCTCACGCAGGAGATCTGTACTAGGAATTCGAACAGCCGACCTTTCTGATCGACAAGCTCAGTGTCTTAGCCACTAAGCCACCTCATCAGGTGTTTTATTTTAGTATTTTTTTACTAAATTTTAGTAATTTTAGCATTTTTTTTCATATTTTCTTTCCAGTAAGAAAAATGTACTCCTGATGAACTCCTTTTTCTATTTTTAGTGCCCCTATTGTACTGTATGAAATCATATTTTAAGAATTTTAGTGACTGTGGATTATTAGTAAATATTAATGCTTATATTTCTGAAAGAAAAATGCAAAGAGACAATCTTTTTATTTCTTGATGTAATAGATATGGTTGGAAACAACCCCTAAGTTCAATGAAGAGCACTATTAATATTATCTAAGAATATTGTACCAGACAACATCTTCTTTAACTTTAAGAGTCAACATAGGACTCCAGATGTGGTTGCTTCTACCACAAAATATGCTGCTTTTCTCTCATCCTGGACATGACAAAATACAACTCATCTGAAACTTGGGCAACTGCCATATATAAAGTCACAAATTATTCTAGCTTGATTTATTTTCTCAAGTTACCCAGTTCACACTTGGTTCCTTATAAAAAGAGACAAGTTCTATGTCTATTGTTTGCTCTGTAATCTAGCTTGCACTCAGATTAATGAAGGGGGAAGCCAAGCGCTGACATAAAAAAAAAGCTCTGTGAGATGAAAGTAATCCCTCCAATTCAGAATACTATATAAAATCATTATAATTTTTTTGTGGGGAAACACCGCTTGACAAATGAATTAGAATTAGCAAAACTATGCTAATTATCAGCACCCTGGATCAGCCTTCTTCATTCTGAGTGTAAATATGAACTCTAAAACTCTTAGCAGTAGCCTTTTGCAGCTGCATATTCTGGTAATTGCAGACTGCACATCTGGAGGATTCAAGGCTGAGGAAGGCTGGCTTATGCCTCCCTAAGCAAGACCTATCTTTGCCTCCTCTAATCATTCTCCTTCCTTCCAGTTTAGTGCTCAGATATCCCACAAGTAAAGGTAAACGTTTCCCCTGTCCAGTCATGCCCGACACTAGAGGGCGATGCTCACCTCTGTTTCTTAGCTGAGGGACCCAGTGACTGTATGCTGAGGTACATGGAACTCAGTTACCATGTTACACTGTTATCACAAGAACCAATAGGTAAAACACGTACCAACAGCATCTGCGGCTTCCAGGGAGCTCAACAACTTCTTTGAGAAAGCAATTACTCCACAGATGTTCCCAAACAGCAGTTCACAATCTACATGTGGCATCTAGGAGGAAGGAAAGGGCAATTTATTCCGGGGCATCCTATTTTCATATGGAAATTCATCTTGTGACCTTTTCCCCATGAACTTAAAGCAGTGCTATAAAACAATAATAAATACTGTTTGACACCAAGAATAACACCCTGTAAATACACAGACCAGCATCATCATTGCTGGTATGGATACTAAGAACAGCTGAAAATGGCCCTTTCAACTCCGGAGCAAATATTTCCTCTGCAAATTCCAGAGAAAGTACCACTGTCAGGACCTCTGCTTCTGTACAAAATTATACAATTACAATTAATTCAGCTCAAGTTAGCATGCTGATACTTTTTGTCTCTTCCTGAAATCTGCATGTGATCTGCTTCAGGATTACCTAATAAGCTTTGATTAAAGTTTTTAATGTTTGTGTCTTTTTATTATTTGTTTTCTATTGTACATTGCCTC